GACAATGCGACGTTCGATTAGACACAATACACGGGGATTTAGGCGACCCTTTTCAAAAGAATGCATCAATTCTCACTTTTATTTTTTATCCCCGTGATATTCTGATGAATTGAATGTAAAAACCCGAGGCTCTAGAGTGGGTGGTGATCACACGACCGCTGCCAACACCTGTCACGTGACCGCAGATTATTCCTTCAGCAGGCAAATGCGTCTGTCTCCTCGTGCCTGAGGAATCTCGGAGTAGGCCACAGGTCGTGTAGTCACGTCTCTCAAAAGAATCTGTTTCAGTGACATAAATGTGAGCCATGTCACAATTTAGACCTTCTGGGACCGATCGAGCTGAACATCTCCTTCCCTGTCCATTGTGCGCTTTTTAATATTGTGACAAGCAGAGTGTTCGGACGCATAACACAATGAACAAAGATATTTCAGTATTAGTGACCACTGCTGCTGAGTTATTAATTTAGTAATTGACTTATTCTCACAATTAAATACAGCTTCTTATATTAATAAATTGTCCCCTTGGTGATTGGGCCTTACTTAGTCGAGTTCGGGGAATATCGTAGTCACAATACGAGACACAGCTGCTAAAATTTAGGTTTTATGTACAATTTTATGTTCTGTAACGCGTAATGTACGAATTTTAAAATTATAATTTCCGTAATAATCTTGTACATTATTTGCACTTACTAATATCCTGGGGTCTCGGGTTCGATTCCCGGCGGTGCCCGAATTTATAACTTGTGTTGGGCAAGGCCGTGGTCTAGGCAACACGGAGTTTTCCTCCGTGGCATCCCAACAATTACTCCATTCACACACAAAAGAAGGCAATGGCAAACCACTTCTCGATCATCTGCCAAGAACGTATATGAAAAGGTCCCAGTCCGAGAAAAGGATCGAAGGATCCTGTTCATATGGACCTGTCCTCAGACAGAACACTAAATAAAATAAAAGTATTAAACCCTGGGACTATGAGCATATTCTGTTCTCACATTAACTTTTATATGAAGTGGGAGGGGTCAATGAACCCTTTAATATTCACCTTGACATTTAACCGTGATTGATTAACGACAGTTGAGTATCAAGAGATTCCAATCAATACCGGCTCGCTACGTACAATTTCTTTTGCGTCAAAGTCTCGCTCAATGCACATAATAGGCTACTTAGTGAAGCCTACATTGCTCACTAATTTCCATTTTGTTCAACAGAGGTAAGTAAAAATTAATTTATCTGGACGTCAAACACAGAGAGCCAGAGAGAATCGAAGAAAAGTTAAAAGTACATTTTTTAAAAAATTTCATGACAATTACAAGCAAACTTATCATAAATACTTATTGAAATGCAATTTAATAGCACAAAATCATGCTTTAGAAGTACAGAAATCCATTCTATCCATGATGTATGAGAATCTAATAGTTGCTCAGGTTCATTACATGCTCAGAAGATTCCACCACCATTCCCTATCCTACTCCATCCAGTTTTCCTTAAGATTAATTTTAATATTATCCTCTCATCCATCTACAAATGTCTTCGGAGTGGTCTATTTCTTTCGAGTTTGACAACCGCTGTGAATAAATTTGTTATATATATATACCATGCGTACTACAAGTCTCGCTTATCTCATCATTTGATCTTTGGATGTCATAATATCTGGTGTAGAATTTAAATTATAAAACTCCACTTTTCCACTTTTCTCCGTTCACTTATCATTTCATCTCTTTTGGGCTCAAAATTCTACTCTGCATCGATCTCACAAACCCTCAGTTTATGATCTCCTAAAGTAAAAGACCAAATGTCACACACATACAAAACAACACGTAATATACTTAGGAGCTGTTTAGTTAGTTAAGGTTCGTTTATCGACGGTCAGATTATACAGAATTTAAGACGTCAATGGATATTATATTTCAAGGGATATAAAAGGAAGCTGTCATTGCCTAACTTAAAACACTATCCAAGTACTCTTAGAGGAACTGAAGAAGAACACGAAGAGACTCGATCACGGTAACATGTCTCCGGGCCTAGATTTTAGCCCTGGACCTAATGAATACGAAGAAGGGTTAGGAAATTATGTAGTTCTGTACTTTACGGTACATTTTAGACGACAACAGGAACGGCTACATGACGAGAATGCATTTACATCCGCGATCATATCTTGGAACTTACGAGGTGCGATCGGAAAGTTTCAAGACTGCGCGTATAAAAACCCGTACACTTATCTCAGGTATTAAATTCATCCATCACCCTCGAAGTAGTTCCCCTGGGAGTGAACACA